CTCCGTACACATCTCGTAAGGAGATCGAACTTCCATGTCGTTCTCGCCTTCTGGTCCTCGGGAGCACCTCCAGGCGCCAGCACATACGGAAAGACAACTTGGACCACCAAATGATCACAAAGCCGAGCTTTCGGAGTTCGCTGGGGATCTCTGCTTAGGCGCCGAAGAAGACCCACCGCTTTGCCCATAGATGACGCGAACGTTCGAGCAGCTCCCCGAAAACAGTTTGCAGCCTGGAAGTCGCGTTCGTGAAGGATTGGCCCCGTCAGAGCACCAGCATAGTGAGCAAAGGTCGCTGTCAGCAACGGCACCACATGTAAATCATCATAACGCCAGCCACTATACTCTCTACGAGTTTTGCCAAACCAATAATTCAAGTCACAACAGAAGATAGATGACGTTTGCGATGGAAGTGATGCCAAACATGTCGCGATCCAACTCGCAAGTCTGTCACACGTGGAACGGTAGCACTCCTGTGCTTCAAATTCTCGAAGCCGAGGAGGCAAATACACAGCTATCACTGTCACATGAAGTACACAATTCTTGGCCCTAGCTGGTAGAGCGCGGCCTCGAATGGACTCTGGAGCTGGGGTGATATGCGCAAAGATGTTCAGCCCGCAGTCGTCGACCCCAGATGCCGCTGACTCCACATGCGTTTCTCACGTACGGAGACACAACATTTCCCGCATCCAAACCAAGCCGGTGATGCATACCCTTCTCGACCGCCTCAATCATTCGTTTGCGAATCTTCGTTCCATTCGTCGCTTTTTGGTTTGGTACCAGTCAATACAAGTACATCAAACTGTGGCGTCCGACGAGCAATATCCTCTACCCTGTCCGACGTATTGGCAATCAGGGGATTATAACCTCAAACTCGAACATCAAACATCCCCAATGAACACAGCAGCCAGCAACGGAGAAACCTCAGCATCCCATGGAGTGTGGTGTAGAGCGCGAATGTAGCTACATTATCGAATGACGCCACATAGCGTCGCACCTGTGCCCCGTGGCTGCGGAGGAGGAGGAGGAGGAGAGAAGGAGGAGGAGGAGGAGGGGGGGACAGGCTCAGGGGATCGAGTCTCGATGCCTTCGGAAATTCTTGTCGCTCCGCGGCGGTCCGTCCAGGCTCGCAAACGCCTCTCGGCGGAGGTACCTCGGAGCGCTTCTTGCATCGCCCGTTCTGCGTGTCACTCCGCCTGGTCAAAGGTCAGGGCGGACGCAAGGGGGGGGGAGGGGCTAGCACTTTGAAGGGGCCATGGGAGACACAAATAACTAGACACGAATAACAGGATCCCCCATGTTTTCGCACAGTTTCTGTGTCTTTGGCTTCCCCCCACTTCCCACATGTTCCCATATTTTCTGGGGAATTGACGATGATTTATGTATGTGTGTTTTCTTCCCTCCTGACACTTGGGGGGCTAGCGAACCAGCTGCATGCAACTGGTCTTCCCAGCGCCCCCTGGGGCGGAGGCGCCCACGCACTGGGAAGCGCGCCACTGAAGGGGCCCTAGGAACACAGAAATAAATACACAAACAAAGCGATTCCCTATATATTCCTAAACTTTCTTGGTTTTTGTCTTCCCACCACTTCTAATATTTACCTATATTTTCTAGGGAATCGACAATTAATTGTGTCTGTGTTTTTCCCCTCCTGACTAACAGGCTGTGTACACCAAAATTTGTTGTCACCTGAGGCCGTCCAAAGCTAGGAACGCCACCGAAACCCGACAGCGAGGCCGGAACAGACCGAAGGCGACTCTGTCGAAAACTGCCGAGGAAAAAGCAACGGCGCGGCAACGGGACGCCTCCGCCCACCGAACCGAACCGACCGCGTGCCGCCGACTGCGGCGCAGCCGAGCTGACCGAGCCGCGGACGCCCTTGCTTCCTCCTCCTCCTCCTCCTCCCACTCCTCCTCCTCCTCCTCCTCGTCGTCCTCCTCCTCCTCCTCCTCCTCCTCCCCCTCCTCCTCCTCCTCCTCCTCCTCCATTCCTTCTCCTTATAGAGAACTCCGCCCTGTCACACCCCGAGGCCGGTTTTCAGGGCGGATCGGGCGTGTCGCCTGAGACCTCCTCACCATTTACGACTCTGAAGTTTAATCCATGACAGCAGTTTCACAGATGGAGGGCGGGTGGATTTCAAATTGTGGCGCTCGCCTTAGCGCCACGCACATTCGTTTAAAAAATTGCAAGGAGTTTCGCGGATTGAGGTCGGGTGGTTTTCAACATGTGGCTCTCGCCTTAGCGCCGCGCACATTCGGTTTAAAAAGTTGAAAGGGTTTCACGGATTGTGGGTGGTTCCTTCCTTTTTAAAATCTGGCTCTCGCTTTAGCGCCTCGCACACTCGTGCTAAACAGATTCGATTTAAACACTGCAAGAATTTCATGGATTCCCATGATCACTGTACCAAAAATAGCGTCCTGGAAGGATTCTGGATTACGCGGGCGCAACAGTTATGTTGATTCGCTGTGTTGAAACCCCAAAGATGGCGTTTTGGCACGATTCTGGATCGTCAATACGCAGCAGTCAGGTTGATACGTGGCGTGGGAATCCCGAGAACAATGTTTTGGCACGCTTCAGGATCTTCCAACTGTTGTCTTCCAACGAGGCAGTTCCCTCAATGGAAATGAACCATTGCGGGGGCCAGGGATCTTGGAGGGAGAGTTAATTCCAACATCGTGAAAGACTCTTGGGCTTCCACAGGTCCTCCTCCTCCTCCTCCTCCTCCTCCTCCTCCTCCTCCTCCTCCCCCTCCTCCACCTCCCCCCCCATGAAACAAATCACAAATCCCCGCGCCGGCCACGAGCCGAGAACCCCAACGCCCGAGGAGGGCCCATGGGAGACCACGGCAGCTCCCTCGCCTGGCCCACGTCCGGTCAGATCGCTCCATGCGGATCCGTTTCTCGAAGAAGAAATCCAGCCGAGGCGACGACGAAGCCTCCAGGAGGCCCATGGGGGAGGAGGGGGGGGAGGGGGGGGAGGAGGAGGAGGAGGAGGAGGAGGAGGAGGAGGAGGAGGAGGAGGAGGAGGAGGAGGAGGAGGAGGAGGAGGAGGAGGAGGAGCAGGAGGAGGAGGAGATGAGGACGAGGAGGAGGAGGAGGAAGAGGAGGAGGAGGAGCAGATCAAGAGCAGGACGAGCGACGAGGACAGATAGAAGGAGCCCAGACACACGATAGTCGTTTACGCCACATACGGCACGACACAACCGACGGTGATACATCGGAGGCAGACAACGTCAGGCCACATCGGATGTCGACGATTATGATCATCACCGGCCAGAATGCCACCAGTGAAGATAGCATGCGCATCGTCAACGGCATCAAGCATGAAGCAAACCTACAACAGCGACGAGTACGTATCTTTACTATAGCGATCCACAGGAGTCAGACGTATAACGACAGAAGTCCTGACTACACTAACAATGCTGTCCACGAAGCTATGCGGAATGGTACAATCGACGCCATCTACTACAAGACATCCATACCGAGCCTCGACAAAAGCAAACGACTTCGTAATGAGCAACACTCGTGGGGAAGAAGAGACTCCAGCAGAAAAGACTCAACTACCATCATGGACGACAGCGCGAAGATACGTGACGCTATCTTCCTCATGTACACGTGTATCGCCAACGACACGGCCTGCTGGATGAACATCGGACCTATCTCGACCACCGCCCCCAACGTTTACACCACTTGAAGAGCCACAACCTTGTCACCGTGACCGACCAGACGATTACGAGCAAGCACTTCCAGCACACCAGCGACGCTGACGACGACAACACGAATCATGGCAACAGCATGCGAAAGCAGCAACAACGACGCACAACGGCCAGGCAGTACAACTGAATTCGTGACATACTATGACCGCTACCACGTAGAAAGCGAGCATGAGCAGCCCACCCAACATCAGGAGACGACACTCCACGAAGGTACCAGTGCCAAGCGGGCGTCGCCATACACTACCACAGGAGCCAGACAGCACAGGTCCCAGCATGGTAGAAACGAGGGCTACTCTCAGAACTACCATGACGTCGAATACGACAACAACCACGACCAGTACCTCCTCGACGGCAACCTCAACGCGACAGTGGCGAAGATCAACACAGACGAGGAGGAGGACCATAACGGCTTGTCACCACAGCGCGTGGCGCCGAAGGGTGGTGAAAGCCCCCTGCACCCCCGCAGCGCCCACGCAATACAGGGTCGTGAACGCCCCCTCGGCGGCGAGCGTGCCGGCCCCCAAGGATACCCTAGGGGGCGCAGGCGGCCACGAGGGGGATGAGGTCGACCTCTACGTCTGAAACCTTGCCCCGCGGGGGCCGAGCCACCCCAGGTTCCCGAGCCTCCCCCTGTCGTCCTGCGCCCTAACGGCCGTGAGCCTTTTCCCGCCCTCGGGTTCCCTGGGGGCTCGGCCGCCTCGTAGCAGTTTGTTGGACCAACGTCCGTTCCTTCCTCCTTTTCTTTTATTTTTGCCGCCTGGCTTTCTCCTGTTGGGGGGGGGGGCCCACACTCGTGCACTATAATTTGGCCCCCCCACCATCACATCCGCGTCGAGTGCGCGAGGTGGAGATTGTCTTCAACTATGGAGGTGATGGTCGGGGGGCTAAGTGACCTAGGCTTTGGTATTTTGTCCTTCGACCCCTCGGGCCCCACCTCCTTTCCCCCTCCTCGTGGCCCAATGAGGCTTCCGTGGTTTCTTTCCTGTTCCTTGGCGGGGTCTTGGGTCTAGAGGCTGTTTCCTGAGGCTCCCACCTTCTGCATCCGCCACCCCGCTGAGGTAGAGGGTGGGAAGGAGGTCACGATGCGCGTGCTCGGCAACCCGCCCACAGCGCGCGGCCACGGGCGCGGGCGCGCGCGGCGGCCACGGCGGACAGACCGCCGCGTGGCCGTCAGTGCGCAGGAGGAGGAGGAGGAGGACGAGGCACGCCAGGGAGGGCCGTCGCTGTCTCGACGGGCCCTTCTCCCAACCCCGCCCCCGCGGCGCCCCCCACGCGCCCCGCTGGCCTTGGACTTGCCCGGTGGCCGGGGCTGGCTGTCGCGGAGGGAAGTTCTCGGCCTGCGCCCCGGCACCAGGAGCGAGGGAGGGTGCCGCAGGGAGCGCCGCGATACCCGCGAGCTCGTGAGCGGTGAAGCCACGGAGGACAACGACGGACGAGGGCGACGAAGGCGACGACGACGACGACGACGACGACGACGAGAGACCGAGGGCGGCGAGGACGACGGAGGCGACGACGAAGACGACGCGAGGAGTGGCGAGAGGGGGCCACACCGGGGAGGGGGCAGAGGGGACCCGTCAAGAGGGAGAGACGGTTTTGAGCGCGCTTCGCCTCGGTCGAACCTCCCAGGGTGTTTCTCGACGCCACGGCTGGGCTCCCATCGGAGTTCTATACAGAACGCTGCCCGCAGCAGGCCCGAAGGCCGTCAAAAGAGCTCGCTCGGTCAAACGCCATGCACTCTTCGGCGGGTGAAGCAGCTCTGGAGCAATGCAAAGTGGTAGCGTGCAGCCGTCTGGCCTCTTTCGAGCACCGTGCTCCTCCTCCTCCTCCTCCTCCTCCTCCTCCTCCTCCTCCTCCTAATCATCATCATCATCATCATCATCATCATCATCATCATCATCATCATCATCATCATCATCATCATCATCATCATCATCAGCAGCATCACCATCATCAGCAGCATCATCATCAGCATAATAATAATCATCATCATCATCATCATCATCATGAGCATCATCATGAGCATCATCATGAGTATCATCATCATCCTCATCCTCATCCTCATCCTCATCCTCCTCCACCCCCCCCCGCCTCCATCGACGCTGACGACGAAGAAAGTGAAGAGGAGGAAAGCGACGACGCAGATGACGACTTTTGGGAGCCTCCTCGAGCTTCCGAGAACCTCTGAAAACCCTCCAAGGCTGCTGAAACCTCGAAGGGTGCCGAAACCTCCAGAAACCCTAGAACCTAATCGGACAAGAAAAGAAAGCGTCGACGTTGTCCGTTTGAGCTGCTTCTGGGAGAAGAGGTCAAGTTTGATCGCTTTTTTTGACGAGGACGACGAGGATGACAGCGTTGATGACGAGGAGGGCAGCGAGGGGGGCAGGAGAACAGCGAGTAGGAACACAAGCGCGAGGACGAGGAGGAAGAGATGAATGAGGACATGTACGAAGAGGGACGCAGCGAGACCCGCCAACTCAAAAGAGACTGCACCAGAGAAACAACCCAATCAGTGGATGGTTGTCGCTGAGGAGATCGACCAGGAACCCGGGAGCCCGTGAACCCAGAACCCACCGAAATCGGCCCGGAACCAATAACTGGAAACCCGGGAACCCGGAACCGGGAACCCGGGAACCCAGCCTGCTACCAACATCGGCGGGAAACTTTCGCCAAGTCTTTCAACTTCCGCTAGGACCCCTGCAATGCAAGCACCGATTGGGGAATGACGAATCTCGTGAGCCGTCATGTCTTTGTGGGGCCCTTTGCGGGGGGGCATGTCGGGAACCTTTTGAAGGCGTTTATGACCCTCTTGGACTGTCCAGGCGCGTCTCGAGGGTCTACACCAAGACTGTCTCTTAAGGTGTCTTTGGACTGTCCGAGAGAACAGTGTTCGGGGCGTTCTTTTGGACAGTCTTTTGCGACCGTCACAGACTCTTGGGGCGTTCTCTTGGACAGTCCTCTTAAGTTTCTCTTGGACAGTCTAAAAGGGTCACAAACGCCCCCCAAGACTGTCTTGGACTGTCTCGAGGGTCTGCACCAAGACTGTTCTCTTGTCCAGATTACCAGGACGGTCTCCTAAGGTGTCTTGGCGTTCTCTTGGACAGTCTTGCTGATCTGATTGGCAATCCCAGGGCATCTTCGGGCGCCCGTGGAGGCCTCCGGGCGGCTCTTGGAAGCCTCTCGTGGGTTTTTGAGGTGCCTTCGCGGGTCCCATGGGGGGCCTTTCGGGGGAGGGCCTCTTGGGGCGTTTTGGGGCCCCCCTGGGTTCTGGAGCCGTGTTTGTTGAAGGCGCCTCTGGCGAAGCGAACCGTTTGCAGAAACTTGACCGGGCAAGACCTTGAAGCGCCTCTTTTATGTGTAAACCTTTGTCCAAAAATGCATTCTTGACGACGTCGAGGGAATTTGGAAACGAGCCGCGAACAACCAACATAACTGATTGCACTTCGTTGTGTTGGGCTGCCGTGCTGCTGCAATTCGCCATGTTTCCAACGGCTGCCTCGCTCCTATGGTCGGCCGTGCTCTTACGATTCGCCGTGCTACGGTGGTTCTGGTTCTGCGGGGACCAGAAAGCCTGGAGGGGGCACCACTGAGGCGCTAAAGCCCCCTCTGGGCCTGTCCCAGAGGGCCTACGAGGGCCGCCCCCGTGCAGGGCGTGCGCAGCGCGCGCGAGCCCCAGGAGGTAGGTAAAGAAGCGCGGAGCCACTTCGGGCCCCACGCCACCCCAGGAGGGCCCAGGAGCCCTAGGGGCCCCATCCCCGAACAGGCGGATGGGAAAAGGGCGAAGCCCCGAACTCCCACAAACCAGCCCTGGATGCATCTCAACTCAGAGTGACCCTTCGAGCCAAGCGAGAAGAGGAATATACGTGCACAACAAACCTAAGGCAGGGTACTCAACACACGTAAGCAGCAGTGCCTGCGGAGCATCGCTCGCAAACAATCTCTGACAGACATCTGACGCCGTGCCGAAGCAAGGTCGTCACTCATGACAGCGCCGTTTGCAGCTCCTCCACCTCCTGGGCGCTGCGACCCCCAAGAGGTTCCCGCAACTTTGGCAGCTGGCGGCCTCAGAGACCAGACTCACGACTGCAAATCATGCCAGGCGAGGCGGCCCCCAGACTCCTTGAGGACGAACGGCAGGCCTGCCCTGCACCTCGCCCCGACGGAAGCCACCTCGAGCCAACCTGCCTTCCAGCGCAGGAGCTGCGCGTCCTTCTTAGCAGCCCGCAGCTGCTCCTGCAGGGAGCAAATGTGAGCTACCTTCGACCAGTCGGCGAGCCATCGCCGCGCTTCGCCCACGGCGTCTTCGGTCGGCACGGCCAGCTCAGCGAGCCCCGCGGCAGCTCGACCGCCGTCTCCGTCTCCACGGAGGGGCGCGGCTTCGTTCTCACCGAGGTAGTTCGCGATCACCTCACTAAGCGCCGACGCAGCGGTGGCGGATCAGGCAGTGGCAGCATCGCCGTCGGCATGCTCCTGCCCCTGGCCGCCTACGCTGTCGTCGTCGCTGTCGCCGTGGCCGACGGCCTCGCCCAGACGGCCACTGACGGGCAACAGCAGCGGCGGGGGCTCGCCAGCCGCAGGCGCGGCATGGCCCACGAAGGCGCCGCCGTCGCCCCCGTCGCGGCCGCACTCGCTCTCGCCGTCGTAGCTCTCGATGCCCAGCGCGTCCAGCAACAGGTCGTAGGGGTCGGCCCGCTGGCGCCGGCCCTCGGCCTCAGCTTCCAGCACAGCGAGCCGCCAGCCCGCCGCAACCCATTGCGCGAAGGCCTGGCCCGCGGACGCCGCGACGAGGTCGAAGCCCTGCCGCGCGCCAGGCGCCAGCACCTCGGCCAGCGGATGGGCGCGCGGCTCGACGCGAATCCCGGAGAACGCCGAGGGCCCCTTCACATCGCCGCCGGCTGGAGCGCTGCCCCACTCGCGCAAGTGGGCCTCGTGCCACACTCCTGGCGGCCGCTCCACGGCCAGAGGCGCCGCGAGCGGCGCGGCGCCCAGGACCTGGGTCTGCGCCAAGGCCGCCTCGGCAACTTCAGCGCAGCGCGCTTCGGCGGGGACAGGCGCGCGCCGCCCCCAGTTGCCCCCCTCGAGGTCGAACTGGGCATCGAGCAGCGCTGCAGGCGCGGCGCCGAGCAGCCTCACAGCTGCCAAGACGTCGCCGCGGCTGGGCGCGAAGCCGCCGAGGACGTCGGCGAGCGGCCGGTGCGCCGCCAGCGCGCGCCGCAGGACCTGGGTCCGCTGCGCCAGCGCTGCGGCCCTGGCGAGCCCGAGCTCCTGGCGGCGCGAGCGCCGCAAGCGCCGAGCCAGGGCGCGGGCAGACACAGCCGCCCAAGCCCTGGCGCGCCCGAGGGCCTGCCGTGGGCCAGGCTGCGCTGGTTTGCCGTACTGCTGCGGTCTATCGCGTTCCTGTTGTCAACCACGCTGTGCTCTGCCATGCTGTGATGTCATGCCGTGCTCTTGCGCGGTCTGCCCGCCGTGCTGGTTTGTCGTGATGGCGTGGTCTGCCGTGCTGGTTTGCCGTGTTGCTGCGGTATGCCGCGCTGGTTCGCCGCGCTCATGTGGTCAGATGTGCTGGTGCACCGTGTTCGCCAGCTGTCATCCGGAGGTTCGCTGTGGTCTTGCGTGGTATGCCGTATTATTCGGCCTGTCGTGCTCCAACGGTATGCCGCGCTTCTGTGGGGTCAGCTGCGTCCCTGTGGTTTGCCGTGCTCCTGCGCGGCCTGCCGTGTTCCTGCGTGCTCCGTCGCGCCCCTGCAATTTGCAGCGCTCGCGCGTGGTCCATCGTGCTCGTGTAGTGCGCCGTCGCGCTCCCACGCGCTCCGCGATGCGCTTGCGGTCTGCCGCGCTCGCACGGGGCCAGCCGCGCTGCTGCGATGCGAGGTGATGTGCCGAAGCCACATGAGCTAAGCGGAAATGAGGTCCAGTGGGGACTCGAACGCCGAAAGGCCTGTCCGAGCGCCGGGCGCAGGCCAACTTGCGCCGCGCGATCTGCGGGGCACCACGCGGGGCGGGCACTGGCGGAAGGGGGGCGGCCGAGAGGCCTCAAAGTCGACCCCGAAAATGCCCTGGGCCACGCGCGCCGAAGGGAAATAAGCAAATTCGATCAAGTATCCGGACGGGCACTGCGCTGCAAAGTGCAAGCGCGAAGGCGCACATTCTGACGCAGGGGGGCCTCTCCCATCGAGTGCGACGACGAACCCGAGAAGCACTCCGAACACACAACCTTGCTTATCGCAAGCGCTAGCGACGGCGCGACGGAACATGCAAATTCCGATCACGCACGCGCGAATGGAACGCGGAAGGAACTCAAGTGAGAACTCAGCTGCAATTCAAAGCACGACACCTCACC